CATACATACATACATACATACATACATACATACATACATATATATATATATAATCATTAAAAACCTTAAAGGCGCATACTTTATAAATAAGCAGAAGATTGGGGTGAGCTTGTGAATATTAGTGATAAGATTGATGACAACTAGGTCAGCAGAGTGAATTCATATCGGCTGCACATGTATGGGAAAATGACGAATGCTGTGGTGATGAACGCCTATAATCGGGCACACGACGCCGAGACTTGTGCCGAATAGCGTAGCGAAACGATGTTTCATTCGGACTGCAGCGGACTACAATGTACACAACTGCGAAACAATCCACGAGTTATTGTGTATACATCGTGGCAATCAAACGCACACGCAGGAAAGCAAGGGTATACATTTTGTGCGATGTTACTCATATGTACACGTACAAGGAGAATGGCGTTCCGAGATAATGTGTACTTTGGCTTCATATTCATCGGACCCCTATCGTCATGGGAAGTGCTCGTAGAGGGTTCTACAGACTTGCTTGCCCGTAGATACGACAGGTGGCATTATAGTAGCATATATCTAGACATAAATATAAGCATACATATACACATAAATATAAGCATACATTGTAGACTTCAATTTTAATATACCTGAACCATTCTTGATGAACATCTCGTGAAGGCGAGGAGTGCCTATACAAAGTATATTCCGGTAACCCAATCTCCTGAATTCTGACACCATATGTGTTGCCGTTTCTTTGGCAAAAAAGTACTGCGCATTCGATTGGTCGTTGTCCAGAGCTCTCAGATGCTCCGTAGGCACCTCCAAATCATGCAGAGTTAGCGACGGTTGCTTCGCAACGACGTCTTTGTGATCGGCATGATTCCGCAGGCTTCTTGGGGTTACCAAACACGCACAACTAGGGCAAAATCGAACACCTCTATTCTTTGAGTTTTCTTTTTGGGCGTGTTTCCGCTTTGTTTTCCCACTATCTGATCCACTTATGGGATTTTGTACCGACCCCAACAAGGTGCGTGCTTCCTGTAATAGAGCCCGGTGTTCTTTCCCGCTTCGCGATGAGACCGGCTTTGCTACAGGTTCCATTGTAGATAACAGGAGAACGAAAGATCAGAAATCTCGAGTATATATATATAATCAGATGTACAAGGGAAATACTTCAAATTATGAGACACGGCCACATCGATCGCCAGCTTCGGCTTACATTAAAACACCTAAATAGTTTACTATGACATTGTTTAGTGCCGCCCGATGATGAAACAGGGAGGCTTCAACTAGGTGCACACACTCCCGCTCAGACACATGCAGCAAAAGTGGAGACGGAGAATATATCCAAATGCCCAGTGAGTCTAGCCAGCATCATACGCCACTCGTACCATAGTACCATCCGAAAGTGGACTATTGCACACGCCACAACCATCAACACCACACCTGGTAACGTATCAGACAGGCCTTCGCGTATGCGTTTCCGTTCTTTCCGCCTCACGTCATCTTCAGTGCGATAGAAGGGACACAACTTTCTATCCCGGAATGCGGAGCATGCGAAATAGCGGGACGGTGGCTTGCCCACGGCAGTGTATCTTTCGAACAAGAGCGCTGGGCCTGTTGAATAGGCGTAAAATGTGATTTGTAAGTCTGTATGATATATAGACGGATGTGGCTGTCACAATGTGTTATGTGAGAGTTATATATATATATTGTGTACATGGAAGAAACGACATATATTTTTGGTAATGTAAAACCATTTGAGACATGTTCTGTGTAATAATCGTCGCCTGTGTTGTGTATAAAATTAGTAAAATATGCTTGTTTTGTTCTAAATTAAGAAAACTAAAGACTTGTGTACGTGGTGTATAAACGAAGTATATCGCGCTCCTGATTAGTTGATATGTGTCGTGTATACCACACTTCACTACTCGCGGAATGGGCCATAATACGAAGATCTCCAGCGCTGTAATGCAATATGCAGCACACGCGTGCATGGATTAGATGTGCACGCATGTGACAATATCACTTGCGTTACATGCATATGGTAACATCACACGTGCTTCATGTAGATGGCATGCACCGATCTATGGTCCCACACTGCAAACTAAAGCGAACAAAGAACGACAATTAGACTATGGCGGTCGTACTCAAGACGTGTGTAGAATCTGACACCTAGTATGGCACGTGCGCATTTGAAGTTATAAGGAGAAAATATGATGTAATGTAAGATGTATCATATATTTTTGTATACAGCGTATGTTGACCTTGGCGACAGTGCACTTCCCTGACATGCATGCTGGAGCTGTCAACATACGAGGAACAGCGTATAAGGTACCGTGTATGTATAATAGACCTCGTGAAACTTCATATGTTTGTACGTTGAATACCATTTCATGCGTATACACATCCATATATATATATATATATATATATATATATATATATATATATATATTATTA